CTTGCTACTGCAGGCACCGTGTCATGAAATCCTTTCTTAAACCAGTGTATTTATTAAAGGCAGCCGCCGTCTCCTTTAGCCTCTGTTTTGGCAGGATAAACAAACTCAACACTTTCAGCCTCCTCTCATACATCAAGTCTCCATGGACATCCCAGTGACCCCACTCTGCACATCTCCTGCTTTGTGGGAGTCTCTGTCCCAGACAGGTGGCAAGTGTTCCACTCATCTGGCCACCACCCACAAGTGTCACAGTCTGTCTGATGGGTCTGTGGTTGTCCAGGTCCTGGCTCTGTCCCTCCTGCCCTCTTCTGCTTGTACCTGGGTGTGCTGGGGATGCACAGCCGTGTGGCATCCCCCTTGTGCTTGGAGCAGGCCCAACACCCAAGGAGACCCCCACCTGGGATATGTTATGATCCATATGGGAAACCCCAGAGTCATACGAAATCCTTAGATCACGCAAGGCTTAGTTTTCTCTGGGACAGGGCAGAGAGGGTAGGGAAGGAGGTCCTGAATTACTATCATCAGTTGCCTCTAGTGATGCAAAAAATTTGACAGAGCAGAAGGCCTATGGTATAATTCCTTCTCTTCCTGAATATACCGTGTTTCCTAATGCCTCCTGTCCTCTGACCAGTGAAGGAGTGAGAAGATAAAAATTAATTTTGAGAGGGACTAAGAGCAATGTGGTCAACTCCTGTGGCACTTTAAGATTCTTCTTTAAGCCCATCTTAGCCTTAGAGTCATTTAATCAAACTTATACTTTTAATTTCTGAAAGAATTTCTCTAGCTTTTATATTTCTAGCGAAAAGAACTAGAGATGTATACACTGCAGCTCTCAAAGCTAGAAATCACAAGGCAAGTAAAAGCAAAAACATGGATAAAAATCTAAGAACCATATTTTTAGCATAAAATAGTGATAGTATTTTTAGACTCAGCTGCTTCTTAAAGCTGAGAGGTTTATCCACACTAAGAGAAGCTTAAACCATCAGGGTTTTTAATGGGAATAGGTCAAATAGATTTTCACTTTTCGATCAGTGTTTCATTCAGTCTTATGAATGACTGTCATTGCTACAAGAAGGACTTGTAGTGCAAAAATATCCAAATAATCAAAATGTAACCCACACCGCCTCTAGAGAAAACGGGGCCCTAAATCAGGAGAGCCCTTGCACTTGCTTCCCACTGCCCCATCCCTCACTCAGCCCCGTACCTCTCCCCCTGCAGCTGGCGGGGAGAAGGCAATGGCATTGCTTGCCTGGGTTTCAGTCAAGGGCAGGAAATAGTAAATCCTGGGGCCTCTAAAGCACATTAATAACTATGTTTTGGGCGTTACGCTGAAGGTTAGAAGAGAAGAAACAAAGGTGAAAACAAAGTCAGGCCTCACATTCATTTTCATGAATGACAGGAGATGGCAGAGGCTGGAGAGGGTGTACCCACCGCAGTGCCCCTGACAGCTCGTTCTCCTATTCACTGGCACCAGGAGGTACCCACAGCTTCTCTTCTCTCTTGCTGGTGGTAATGGACCTAGCTGAGGAACAAGGGCCTGGGAGTGGTATCAAGATCATGCAATTAATTTCTGTGCTAAAGAACCAGAAAACCTTCTTCGAGAGTCCGTAAAACCTATAGTCATACAAGCTGAGACGTACTGAAGCAGCTCCCTGAGCAGCAGGATGGCATTTAACAGTCTCTTCCCTGCGGATTATCCAGTGTCTAATATGAACTGAATTCACCTCTTGTAGGAACTTAGTATCTTGAAACTTCTGCCTGTTTCTCCAATTCAGCTGAAATCAGCCAATGCCTTCCATGGTGCTGGGTGTGTGGGATAGATGGAGCGAGACAGCATGATCACATACGTCTTGCATTCCTCGGATGACAGCCAAGGGGGAGAGGCAGCTCGGAGAGCTGGTAGGGGTGTATAACCAGATTAGATAACTGACTTCCCGCTGCTGAGAGAGGGAGAGACAGCGCTGCTTTCAGCACTCCTGCTCCATTACAAATAAGTGATGTCATGACTTTAAAAAGACAATATGACCTACTATCCTGCTCTGCTTCCCCCAAGGATTGCTGAAATGGCTTGGTAAGAAAGAATTAAGGTGCAATAGAGATGGAGATGAAAGGGGAAGAGAAAAAGCAACAAGGCAAACTCTTTCTTCAGTTTAAACCAACTACAGAGCATCCTGGAAGAATGGCAAAAAAATTAGCACCGTCAGAAAAAACAGGGCAGTTGCTTTTTCCCAATGTGGTTTTTCAAGAGTATTTAACATTCAGATATTTCCTTTCACTGCTTTCTGCCCTTCAAACTTTTTTGCTATTTAGATTTTCAGATCAAAAGTGTTTTTTCCTATAAAATACAAAAAAAATTCCTAGGGCAAACTGTATTTCTGGCTGAGTCAATAATATGGTTATCTGAAGCAGGATCAAATGGAAAACTGAAAAACTAAATGGCCTTACTGAGCAGACCAAGTAGCTCAAGAGGTGCCTGAGAGTCAAATGTTGATCTGATGCAGAGTTCATTCAGAACTGAACAGCCAGGCTAGGGCTTGTGCACCATGGCACAGTCCATGTGCCGTTCGCAGGACAGTTGTAGTAGTGAAGACTGGTGAGCTGGGAACTCAGAGAAAGGTGTGGACCAGGCTGGTAAACACAGTTATTCCTGCTTTTTTTGTTTTTTTTTTTCTTTCCATAAAGAGACTGTGGAAGAACATTTGTTTTTCAGGTCGAGAGGGACTGCATTCAGCCTCAAGGGACCTGTTCCATAACAGTTTAGGCTCCTGCATTGTGCTTGAGGAAGAGAATGAAGAAGCGGGGAAGGCTCCAGATAATCAGGGTAGGAGCAATGAATGAAAATTAAATATCAAGAAATATTGAGCCAGCATGGATGCACAAAAAAAGATGGGAACAAAAAGCCAGCTTTTGAAGAAAGAAGTGCCCCTTTCTTGGCCTCGAGGATATGCAGAGGGGCCTGAGGTCAGATTCGAGGACTGCCCATGACAATGCAGCTTCTGTGTTTCCCCTGACAGACAGTGATCCAACTGGGGAAAGAGACCATCCCTTCTGCTTTTGAGGTCTGGGGGAGTCAAGAACAGTTCCCTGCCCACTACATGGAGGCTCGGCTGCCCAATCGGAGGGGCAGGGAGGGGGCGAGGGGAAGCAGCCAGGGCCCTTGTTCATTGTTGCTCAACTCTCCTCCCCACTGCGTGCTTCATTCCCTTGGGCAACGCTGCCGTCACTCTGCTGAGTATTTAAAGAAGGCTGCAAGGGGCCTGGCAATGGTCCTCACCAGCAGAGTCACACCAGCTTTATGGTTTTTTCTTGGAGCAATTTGGTGCCTCGTCTCAAATATGGACATTCAGCCTACGTGAAGGGTTTCAAGAGACAGACCGGGAAAGTCTCCCTGAAAGACTCTTCAGGGAAATGTGCTAAGCTACCTAGTGATGATGATGAGGGTCATTACCGGGTTTAACCCATCAGGGATCAAGAGTCCATTTCTGCCCTTGTCCACTCACCAACCATTTGAAGATAGTTGCTTAATAAGGACCTCAGGTGCAATAACTTTTGAGGAGAAGGACTATGAAGGGAAAGGCAGAGGCTGGAGGTTTAGGAAAGAAATAACAGGTCATTTTGAAGAGTACCAGGCCTAGCTTTGAAGCTGACCCTGCTTTGAGGAGCAAAGCAGGTTGGATCAGAGGTTTGGAAGGCAAATCTGAATTATTATTTGATTCCATGCTTCTGTGTGAGGAGTGTGATTTTTTTTTCCTATTCTCTTTTAGGACATTTAACGAGGCAGCCAGCAAAATAAAGACTTTGATAAGGAAGTGCAAGTTAGAATTGTTCTTGCTAATACCACCCTGTACTGACAAGCATGATACCAATAAAAAGAGGAAAATGAACTCTTCATAGTATCATAGTTGCAAAAAAATGACTTGCTAACTTCTCTGTCTCAGACACAGCCTTTGATCAGAACATGTATGCTCATGTATAGTCCTAGGCAACTGGACAGAACCCCTTTGAAAAGAGAAGGAACACCTTACCAAGGGCAATGGGTCCTGAGAAAGTCTTGAAAACCAGCACATTAATAATTCTATAAACACACATGAGCGTGTGTGTATATAAACACACATGATCCAGAATCAACAGCTTTATAAAGACAGAAAATATGTCATTCAGACAACATTCACCAGCTTTCTTTATCCATCCAAGAAGTTTGATAGCCCTAATAAACAAGCATAAGATTCCTTCAGGATCACCACCTCATCTCTGCATCTCTCTCTTCTTATGCCTGCTTTCAAGTCAGGCACCTGCAAGTGATTATTAATAATAATTTCTACTTTGACAACAGCATTCAAAGTCTCGGCCAATACTTGGACTTCATTTTGACAGACACTGCACCAACACAGAGAGGAGGAGATGGACCCCAACATGAAGAGTTTTCAACTGAAATGAATGGCTGGTGCCAAGGCTAACAGAGAAACAGAGAATTTGTTCAATGCCCTGCAGAGCACATCAGAAAACAGGCCATGAACCTCCTTACTGTTCCTATGGATTTTCAACACATAAAAAGATTTTGCCATATGTAGTTATTTTGAATGCTGAAATCAAAGTTTAGAGGCTGAAATCAAGGTAAATCAGAAGACTTGTGTAGCTCACATGTCGAGCATAACATCACCAACGTGTACTGTGGCATACTGGCTTTATACCTTTTCAGGCATATATGGGGAGCTGTGAGGTATTCTTCCAATGGAAGAAATTATAATCCTATCAATCACCAGAACAGAAAATCTAATTTTAAGGTGAAATAGCAACTGATTCTGCAAAGGTAGGGAGCATGGAGGGATGGCACAATAAGATATTTTCATTTATAGCTTTCACAATTCTATAAAATGGACGTCTTAAAACTCCTCATTAGTTCCTTTCTTCAAGAGAAGAAATATCCACAGATTAGCTGCCATTAAGACCTCAGCCCTGTCCACACACATTTCTTAGAGCCAAATTCAGTTGTCACTGACCTGTTCCACTCGGATATCAAATTCTCCATTGACCTTCTTCCCCTGGAAATATTTGGCCCTACAGAACAAAAGAGAGAGAGAGACATGGTCAAAGAAGAAATTTGGCTTTAATTACATACTGTTTTGCTTCTGTATTTCCCTTTTTGCTGAAGAATTTCTATCCGGGTCACAGCATGTTTTCTTAATTCCTATCTTCTTTCAGCTTTTTGTTCTCCAGAAGAAACCTGCCAAGCCAGATGAAAACCACATTGGAAAGTTCCTTCAAAGCTTGTGACTTTTTTGTTTTATTTTCAAACTGAAAACCAAATGCTCTCCTAATCTTTTCCAGAGCAACAACTCTAATCAATGATTCCTTGCTGTATTTCATTTAATACTCAATCTTTATTCTGTAAAAGAAGGAGAGAAACATATGGCATGACATTGGAAACTTCTTCTGATGTTGAGTGAGGATCTTTATCATCACAGCTAAAGTACTTGTAAAGCCTGTTCTCTTGCTCTCTCCTTACAGAGCTGCTTTTTGCTTCTGTTTGCCTTTCTGCTACTGATTTAGAGAAACAGTATCTGCTTCTACAGAGTCACTAATGAAGGATCTCTTCTCCTGAACTGAGAAACTGTGTTTGCTTTGGAGTTGAGCAGTGTCATGAGAAGGACATACACCTTCCACCACCTCTGCTCCTAGCTGCCTACGTTATGCAGACAACAAAGCACTTTCGGAAGGATTGGTTGTTTGTGAGAGAGGAAGGCTGACAGTAGTGTTGGAGAAGAAAACATGGGAAAAGGGCAGGCAGCTGTAGATTTTTTATTCATATTTGTGTATAATGCCCCTTATGTTGATCAGCCAGCAGGGAAATTGCCAATATAGTTTTCCTTGTGAGCATTTCTCCCCAATTCTTCCCCTCACCAAACAAGCTTGACAGAAGAAAATACAAATTTATTTTCTCAGACCTCCCCCCTAAAACTTCAGGAAGACCATGTAGGTTCCAAAAAGCTCTTCTATTTGGAAAGCATTGAAAACACACTTTAGCCCTGCAAGAGCTGTTTCCAGAGACAAAGTAACTCTCTGCATTCTGTTTCCAATTGGCAAAGAGAGGACAGAATAAAGAAGTAAAGGAAAATGAGGGGAAGCCGGCTTTGCTCCCTATTTTATAGTATTAGCAAAAAAAGAAGCTGGCTTACATTTTTACTATGTGTCTATTTATTCCAGTAAAAAAAGGAGAGACGGTAGGAAGGCAGTTTTCCCCATGGCTGAAACACACCAGTTTTCAGCTGAATGCTCCTCTCCCCTAGAAATGTGAAATGTAAATAAAAAAAGTTGTTTTGGTTTGTCATTCTGGCTCAAAACCAAGTCAAAAGTTTTCATTTTATTAGAAAAAGACATAAAAAATGTCAAAAGTTTTCTGCTTCATTTTAAGAAGGATATCTGATGGCTGTATCATGCTTCCCTTCCCATACAGCCCATCCATCATCATGGTGCTAATAAGACCTCTGCCTAGATGTCAGGGAGGGACAGTGTAGCAGCCAGGCGTGTCCAAGACCAAGTGGCTTGAACAACCCCTGTCCAGTATAAAAAGCAGGGCTCTGGCCATTTTTCCTCCTTTTTTTGAATTTATGAGTGTTGCATGAAAAAAAGCAATTCAACAGACAAGCTGAGACATCACGCCTCTAACAATAAACAGGAACGCTAAATGCACTTAATAATTCCATCATATTTCTGGAGGCATGGCTTTAGAGGGTCTGGCAACATTCCTCGCTCTTAAACATTGGGGATATTGCTGGAACCAGTGACCTCAAAAACTGGAATAAGCTTTAAGTGGGCCCACAGGAACTGGTCGGAAATTTGAGGCTCACTATTCACTGGTACAAGCTTGGTTTTATTCCCAGCACGCTCATAATGTATACTCCTTACCCACATGTAAGAAATATACTTCCCCCCTCTATGGCCTCTCCTCTTTGCCAACCAGCTGGTTGCAAACTCCTTGGTGCTGCTTTGCTTCAGCTTGTAATGAAGTGTGATTAACCACAGTCTTCAGCCTGGTACAGATGGAGCAAAGAGGCTTCCACTGCCTAGTCCAGGAAATCAGCCTTCACATGGTTAAAAAATCCTCTCTCCCATCTCTCGAAAACTGTCTCTGCTCATGGGTAGTCACACAGAGGGCACATCCAGCATGGCCTGGACTTAGACACAGCATGGCCTCTCCTTCTTATCCCTCTTTCCACACAAGTTGTCTCATCCAGTCTCTCAGATAACTTTCTTTTAACAGCACAATATATCACTGTCTTTCAAGGACAGTCCCGCCCCTCCCCCTCCCGGAGGGTTAACTTGCTCCGAGTGTCTCTGAAGACTACAGGTGCTAAGCAATTTGCAGCCAAATATTTTGGTCAGCCCACCATTTTGACATAGCTCAGGGTAAGAACGAAACACTTCTAACTGAAACATCATTGAAATGGATGAGGTGTTTTTTTCAATGCGTACCTGGGGTTTTGGACCCCCTAGGCAGTAGAGGCTATCATGTTGAAATGAAAAATGGCTTTAGCATCACCCTGGGGCTCCTGAAATTTCAAGTAAGCTGGAATCATTGCTGATGCTGCAGAAACATCATGATGCCTCCATTGCAAGAGGAGATCTTTTAGTCAGTATTGTGCAATGGCCTCTGGTCCCTACGGTGGATGTGGGATGGAGGAAAGGAAGACCACGCTGCTCCGGTGGGGATGCAGGAGAAAGAAAGATGGATGTTTCTGGCCAGTGAGACTGTGCAAGATGTTTGTGGATGCTTTCTGCCCCAAAACCACCTGAGCAAGGCTCTTCCAGGTTTCTGCCTAAGAAGTACAGCACAGCCAACTGCCAGTGATCACAGGAGCAGCTCACTGCCCCAGGAGGGGGTGCTGCTTGGCATCCCCCAACTTGGGACATCAGGAAAGGCATCGGCCTTGCAAATCCACCCCCTATCATGGGCAGCCTCCAACACTGACCACCACTTGGCTGGCCATCCCTTTATTTTAAAGCATGTCAGATGTTCAACCCACCAGAACACAGCATTATAATTTGGCTAGGCAGGGTGCGGATGGGGTGGTGCAGTTGCTGTGATCTCAGTAAATTAGCATGTAAACATGTTTTGACTGAAGAAAACTGCATGGCCATGCTCAAGAGCAGTTCCTGGGTGGGATTTACAGTGCTAGGCAATGCATTTAAATGTGGCTGCACTGGCTGGGAGGGAGAAAACTCCATAATAAACAGCCAGAGGTCTGCCCTGGCTTCCAGGGAGAAAGCTTGCCCTGAACCCCTCTCTCTTTGCAATGAAGATGCCTCATGTTCTGGAAAAGGGCATATTTTCTGGGTGCAAGGGCATCAGAAAAACTTCTGCTCTCTGCCTCAGCCCTGGCATGATTACAGGGCCACAAGAAACCTGATGCCTCTTCTTATGAAGTAATTTGGAAAGAATAAAAGCTTATTTTCCAGAGCTGCCATGAAACAGTCCCAGTCTGCCTCAGCAACCGTGGCTAGAGGAAGCATATACACAATTTTCTGTCAGATACAGGGTGTATCCTTAATAGCAGCAGGGAAAAATAAATGATCAATTGACCTCCAATTACCTACGTAAGAGCTAATTCACAGAAAGTCCATGGACAACGTTAGTTCCCTTAGGTGTTTGCAAAGCATTCTGTCTGAGCAAGGGATGCCAGCACTGATCCAAAACTGCAAACACACCTGTAAGACACACAAATACCTGGGTTTATCCCTCTGGTGTCACCAACAGCTGAGACAGCTTCTACTGCACCTATGTGAGGGCTGCCCGAATCGGTGTGCTCCCCTACTCCTTCGTACTAATGCCCGTAGTCTGCAAACACGCAGACTTAGTCCTCATGGGGCACCAAGTCCCTTGTCAAAGCCTTGCATGTCACCAGGCCCAGGGGAGGTAAAGCTGGGCCAGTGGGCTACTGGCATGGGAGCTGGGGCTGTGCCACTCCTGCGCCATGGGGAAACACGGCACAAGAGAAGCAACACCCGCACGTGGTGTAGGGGCTTCCAGGATCAACAGCAAAGGATCAAAACTCACAAGCTGCTTCTGTTAGGAGAGCACAGATCATCTTGCAATTTCTCTCTGTACAATTAATAACCAGTTACATCTGCCTTGCTCTCGTTCTGCTTTAAAACAAAAGTAGGTGCAATGGGTGCTCAACCATCAGCCAATATCCAATGCTCAGCACAGGAATCCAGGAGAAGCTATTTGTGCAGAGCTTGTAGTGTCTCTTCTGGAGCAATTTCTTCTCTCTTCCCTTTGCTTTTTTTTTTTTTTAATCTTGGTGCAAAGGAGCATGTCCAAACTGCTTCAGAAGACTGCTTCGGTGTTTTCCTCTCGATCTGTGGGAAACAGAGACTCAGGGATGGAGCAGCTAGGAGGGACAAGAGATCTGAAGTGATCCTGATGGACTGGAAGAGTGCAGTTATTCAAAGTTTAAAGCTGTTCCTGCAGGTCCATTAGCTAGGTGAAACAGAGGTGATGACATTATGCAGCTTTGAGCACAGGCTGGTATTTTGTATTACATTCATGTGACTTCTCCAGGGTATCCTGTAAAATGGCTCCTGTGTGAAGTAATTTTCTAGGATAGGAAGAGATCCTGTGAGAGACCTCAGTGGAGCTGACATAGCAAATGCCATTGCAATTACTGATAGCATGTCTTGGAGTAACTGGGAAGGCATCCTTCAGGCAAAAAAATAAGCTTGAACCCAGTCCCTTATGAAGTGAATGAACACAGGCAATTTTTTGGGCATCACTGTTCGACAGAGATCTTGAGCTACAAACTCAGGAGCAGGCTTGTACCTTCACCCCAGAAATGGGCTCAGTATCACTGTGAGCATGCCAAAGAGAGGCACTGGGATATTGTAATTACAAATTTCTCCAAATCCTCTGACCGAGCTTGTGCCTCTGGAGCAAGACACAACAAGCAAAGAAAGCCAAGCCACGCTTGGGATGGAGACCACTTCTCATCCGGGGCGGGAAGCAGCCTTTCCCACCCTGTGGAGGGGCCAGAGCAAAACATGCTGAGGAGAGGGGAAAT